AAATTTAAACCTTTCATTGGATGTACTTGCACCATTTCTAAAAAGTTTTGTAAATATTTTCCACAAAAGGTGTACACTTTCAGAAAAAATGTAAGTTTTTAATAAAAGGTGTAAACTTTTTGAAAACATATTTTCATAAGAAAGTGTAAATTCTCAAAAAAACATGTAACTGTTTTCACAAAAGATTTAAGTTATGTCACAAAATGTGTAACTTTTGATTTTGGAAAAGGTGTAAGTCATATAAAAGGTATTTCGCAACAGGAGTAACTTCTCAGAATGGGTGTAAGTTTTTAAGAGAATGTGGAAATTTTTAAAAAAGATGTAACTGTTTTCACAAAAGGATGTAAGTTATGTCACACAAAGTGTAACTTTTGTTTTCAAAAAAGGTGTAAGTTCTAATAAGAGGTGTAAATTTTATTAAAAAAACTATTTCACAAATGGAGTAACTTTTTAGATAACGTGTAAGTATTTCCAACAAAAGGTGTAAACTTTAAAAAAAGGTGTAAGTTTTTTTTTAACAAAAGGTGTATATTTTATGAAATGTAGTTTTCCATAGAAGGTGTAAATTTTTTTAACAAAAGATATATGTTATTTGACAAAAGGTGTATGTTCTGTTTTCAGAATAGTGTAACTTCAAATAAAATATGTAAATTTTTTTATTGAAATTATTTTACAAAAGAGGTAACTTTTCCGAAAAGGTGTAAGTATTTGAACGAAAATGTGTAAATTTCTAAAATAAATTATTTCACAAAAAACTGTAACCTTCCAGAATTACTGTAAGTGTTTTCACAAAAGATGAAATTAACTTCAAAAAAGGTGTAAGTTCCATTTTTTTGCAGAACGAGGAAGTTGCTACAACGCAATCAAACTGTATTTGTGTTGTTCATGGTTCGATATCGATATAGATAGATAGAGACGAAGGGAGGGAGAGAGACGGACGAATATCGACAGACAAAGACCGAGATAGGCATGGTTGGACAGAGAGAGACGAACCCAGATCAACATAGACAAACCAATATCGATACAGACAGAGATCGACAGACAGAGAGAGCCCAGATAGACATGGTTCGACAGAGAGAGAGGGACCCAGATCGACACAGACAAACCAAGATCGATACAGACAGAGATCGGCAGACAGAGAGAGAGAGAGACCGACATCGACAAAGAAGAGCCAGAGATGGACAAAGAGAGACCAAGATGGATAGAGACAGAAAAATCCTTTTATTTGCACTAGCGGCGGTGGCTGTAGCGGTTGCAATGTCAGTCAGCGGTGGGCAATAGTGGGCCACGACGGTTGGCTGGTCGATGGTGATAAAATTTTCAACGTATAAGTCGTCGATAAAATTTATTTGGGAACTTATATCTTTCGTAAAAACGAAATATTCGGCTTGAGAGCTTATATCTTTTGTAAAAACGTAAGATATTTAGCTTGATTGGTATCCAAAGTTTACACCTATTCCTAAATTTTACACATTTTCTAAAAATTTACACATTTTCGTGAAAATATTTACAACTTTTTTGAAAAATTACACATTTTGTGGCAAAACCTTTTTCATAAAACTTACACTTATTATTTGAAGTTACACCTTTAGTGAAAAACAAAACTTATATCTTTTCTAAGGTCATTTACACCTTCTTCGGAAAAACATACACCATATTTAAAAAGGTTATACCTTTTGTCAAATGATTTCTTTTAACAAACTTTATCAAAGCATATTTTCCATAAAACGTGTAAATTTTCAAAAAAGATATAATTGTCTTCACCAAAGATGTAACTCGTATTTAAAAGGTGTAAATTTTTTATAAATTTTTGTTTCACAAAAGGAGTACCTTTTCAGAAGAGGTGTAAGTTTTTAAAAGAAGGTGTGAACTTGATGAAAACATATTTTCCGTAGAAGGTGTAAATTTTTGAAAAAGGTTTAAGTGTTGCTGGAAGAAAAGGTGTAATATCCCATAAAAAAGTGTAAATTTTGTGGTAAAAGTTATTCACAAAAGCAGTAACCATTCAGAAATGGTTTAAGTATTCCCACAAAAAAGTGTAACCATTCAGAAAAGGTTTATGTTTTTAACAAAAGGTATAAATTTTATGCAAATATTCTTTCCATGAAAGGTGTATATTTTCAAAAACTTGTATGTGGTTTTCACAAAAGATCGAAGTAATGTCACAAATGGTGTAACTTCCCATTAAAGGTATAAATTTTATGGAAAATATAATTCAGATTTCCATAAAAGGTGTAAACATTTTCAGAAAAGATATAAGTTATATCAGAAAAGGTATAAGTTCTAATGAAAGGTATATTTTCTCGAAAAATTTGTTTCACAAATAGAGTAACTTCTCATACAAGGTGTAATTATTTCCACCAAAAGGTGTAAACTTTATGAAAACATATTTTCCATAAGTATAAATTTTTTCACACAAAATGTAAATTATTTAACAAAAAGTGTAAGTTCAGTTCTCAGAAAAGGTGTAAGTTCCAATAAAGGGTGTAAATTCTTTTAATAACATTCTTTACAAAAGTAGTAACTTCTCAAAAAAGGTGTAAGTATTTCAACGAAAATGTGCAAATTTTACAAAATAAATTATTACACAAATGTGTAACCTTCCACAATTAGTGTAAGTGTTTTCACAAGAGATGTAAGTAACTTCGCATGACGTATAAGTTTCGTTTTTTCACAAAACGTGTAAGTTCCTAAAATCCAATCAAACTGTATTTGTCTTGTTCAAATAATGGCAAATGTGAGAGAAAAGGGCGTTTCGGAGGACTTGGTCTTTCTCTCAGTAGAAGTCCGTTTCAGAGAAGACGAGTTTGGGAGGGCTTGGAATAGCGACTCCAAGTCCAAATCCAACCAAGTATGCCAATGTAAAAGAGAACCGTTTTGAATATAGAGCAAGAGACAGACAGACAGAGAGAGAGAGAGAGACAGATGGACTGAGATCGACAGACATAGAGACCTAGATGGATAGTGATCGACAGAGATCGACAGAGAAGAGACCCACATGGACACAGACAGACCAAGATCGCTGGAGACAGACCGAGATAGACAAGGATCGACAAAGAGAGACCGACATCAACAGAGAATAGGCCGACATCGACAGAGAGAGACCAAGATCGATAGCGAGAGAGAAAAAAACCTTTGATTTGCGGCAGCGGTGACCGTGGAGGTGGCGATGTCAGATGGCAGTAAGCACGGGAGGACACCAACGCTTGGGTGGTCAGCAGGGGTCAGGATTGGTGGTGACTATTCTGTGTGCGTGTGAGAGAGAACAGAGAAGGTGTTGGTGGGAAACAGAGAAGAGGGGGGCCAATGGTAATAAAATTTCAAACCTTTAGTGACTAAACTCTTATTTGTCGATAAAATTTACACTAAACTAAATGTTATACTTTTTCTGAAACATTATACCTTTTTTGAAAAATTTTCTAAACTTATACCTTTTCGTCAAAATACTTTCACCATTTTCTGAAGGTTTACACCTTTTACTGAAAGTTTATAAGTTTATACCATTTTGTAAAAGTTTACACCCATTTGAAAAAATATTTTCATATTATTTAATTAGTTTACCTGCAAGGGACCCGTTTAGCAGGTCACCAATGTGTAAAGTTTCAAAAAAATGTCGTATAACCCAATATATAGAAGGTGTAAATGCAAAGTAGAAAGGGCGTAAATGCCTTGCATACCATATGCAAGGCACACATAAGAAAAGTCCTAATTAGAAAACAGAAATTAAAAATACTTCTATTTCAGCTTTCAAATAATCAATTTTTTTTAACTTATTTAAGTTATTTCTGCCTAATAAGTTATAAATAAAAGTTGCATCAAACAGTCTCACACAGACTCTCAAATTAAAATAAACTATAACCACTCTCTAAAAGCGGTAACAAAACGTCCATTAAATCGACAAGAACCTGCAGCCAAACTTTGAAAACTTGTGTGTGGATTCAAATGCGTATCCGTCCCGGCCCACACCGCCTCAAATCATTTTTATAGCACTTGAATTAGAATTTAATCATAAAATGATGCCTCAATAATATTGAAACAATTATATTAGAATGATTATGTTTTCTTATAATTTTTTTTCTTTTTTTAGAATTGAAATTTATTATTGTTTTGTAAATAACTTTTTTAATTGACTTTTTTCGGTCTTTAGTAAAAGAATTTAAATTGTACTTTGATTGATAAGAATTTTTTACTTCATTAAAAATGACAGAAGTTTTGTTTTTTTTTGTTTTTTGTTTTTTCATATTTAGGATCATAATCATTCTAATATAATTTACTTTTTTAATCTTTAGTACAAGGATTTAAATTTTACTTCGATTGATAAGAAATCTTTTACTAATTTCATTAAAAATGACAAAATTTTTATTTACTTATTTATTTTTTCTGTTTAGGATTTTTAATTTTTTAAAAAAAATTCCATATTCAATTTTTTTTAATCAAATATGAAAAGACATTAAAAAGTTAATTTTTTTTATAGCAAAATATCGATAAAATTTGAAGACCTAAACTTGAGACTTGGTGATTGGTTGTTAGGTTTAGTAATTGTTAATTTTTAATTATTGTTGGATTAGTAGTTTATTTGATGTAATATTGATTGACAAAAAAAATTAAATTAAATTAGATGTCAATCCTTTAATCACTATGAAGACAATAAATTGACAGTTTCACCCCTTAATTTGAATTTAAATTCTAAATAGACTTTTTGAAAATTTTAAAAATAAAACTAATGTAATTAAAATTATATAAACCACATGACCACAAGAAAGCAAAATTTGAGGGAAAATATAGCATAATGAGGATGATTATTGACTCGTAAACGAGAGCTAGTTGTTCTTGATCAATTCAAGAAAAAAGCTCAGCCTTGAAGACTTGTTTGTGGATTTTCAAATGCGTATACTGAACATGCTTATATAAGAAAATATTATGAGAAAATTGTGGCTAATAATTAAAAAGGAAAAAGAAAACTAAACAAACAAAAACACACCTCATTTGTCCAAGTCAAGATGAGGATGAAGAAAAACACTCAGGTTTCATTTCTAATACTGCTAGTGTTGTTGAGCTTTCTAACTCTGTTAAATGCAGAGCTTGATGAATTTGCATGCCAGAGCCAGAGTGGTAGTAGTAGTAATCTTGGGGGTGCTGTGAATGAGATTAAGGTTGGTGTGATTCTTGATATGGGATCATGGGTAGGGAAGGTTGTTCATAGCTGCATTGCGATGGCGATTTCCGATTTTTATGCTGTAAACACTCCTCACTATAAAACTAGGGTTGTTCTTCATATAAGGGATTCCAATGGAGAACCCCTGCTTGCTCTGTCTGCTGGTGAGTCTTTGTTTTTTGTTTTTTCCTCTCATATTCATGTGCTTGCAATTGCAAAGTGTTTTTCTATCTATGTTCTTGATTTATCATTCAGTAGTTAATCTGGGGTGACATTTTCAATCCTACATTTCTTATCTGTGCCCATAAATATACATGTTTTTCCCAAGGGGTTCAGTAGCATCCAATTGGCAGTGTTATTATTTCGATAGTTTGAGGTATTAAGTTGGACTTTGTTATATAGTTGATGTCTAATTTGATGTAATTTTTGTGATATTTGTAAATTATCTCCTACTGATTGACTAAAAAAATGCTTATTTTCCCTTTTACGGGACCTGACATTATCAGGCCCATTGAAATAGCTTAAACATACACCAACTAATAAGTGATTTTGTCATTTTTGTTTATGTAATTTAGCTCATGGAAACCCATGTGCTTGGCGACTTGAACTTGGGACATCCAATTCTAGAGGAATAATCTCAAATCTCATGTACTATTCCTCGAGATAGTCTTAGAAGTTTCACTTGCTACCTTAAACTTTCAATGTACTCGGTCCATCCAAGCAAGATGGCACACCCACTATGATCATACTCAATTTTAGTGGTGGTGTTAATTGAGATTGCAATACCCCATATAAAGCTTCAATTAATGAAGAACAATTGTGATTACATTAACAGTTCAGATATTTCTGATTCTGGTTTCTGCTTTGCCTTTTGCAGCTCTTGATCTAATAGAGAACATCAAGGTGCAAGCAATGATCATAGGCCCTGAGACCTTGCTTGAAGATAAACTTTTGGCCTTGTTAGGAGACACAGCTAAAATACCTATCATTTCTTTTGCAACAAGTCCTTACTCCACCCATTATCCTTATTCTGTTCAAATAAAACCAGATGAAATCATTGAATTCAAAGGCATTGCAGACATTGTAGGATCATTTGGATGGAGGAATGTCATCCTTGTTCACGAGGACACAGTCACAGATTGTGGGAGAGAAATTCTGCCATTTTTAGTTAATACCTTCGAAGAGATCAGTATGCACATTTCATACACGAGTTCCATTTCTTACTCAGCCACTAATGATCAAATTCTTGAAGAGCTTCACAAGCTCAAGACTATTCAGACAACAGTATACATTGTCCATATGTCACCTCCTCTCTCTTCTCGGCTTTTTCTAAATGTGAAGAGGTTAGGAATGATGGGTGAAGGGCATGCTTGGATTGTAACTGCTATAACCATGAACCTGCTGCATACCATGGACTCTTCTTCCATTGAGTCAATGCAAGGAGGATTGGGTTTCAAGTCTTACATTCTGGGGTCAAGTGAGCTCCATAATTTCACTGTAAGATGGAGAAGGGAATTTCACATTCAAGACCCAAGTTTTGAAGTGGCAGAGTTGAATGCGTTTGGTATATGGGTATATGATGCAATTTGGGCACTAGCAGTTGAGAAGGTAAAAAAAAGAAGTCCCAGTACAAGAGACTCTCACCAACGCGGCATGGGGCCGAACTTGATGGACTTGCCCAACATTGGAGCCTCTCAAAGTGGGTCAATGCTTCTAAAAGAGATATTACAGAGTAGAATTGTGGGTTTAAGTGGCAAGTTTCAACTCTTGAATGGGAGATTAATCTTCAAGGCCTTTGAAATGGTGAATGTGATCGACAGAGGTGAAAGAAGAGTTGGGTTTTGGACACCAACAGATGGAATTAAAAAGAAAATGTACCCATCCAACAGCGGTCTTGAAGCCATTGTATGGCCAGGCGGTTCTACAACCACTCCAAAAGGTTGGTTGGTGAGAATGAGTGGGAAAAGGCTTAGAATTGGTGTTCCTCTGACAAGGTTCAAGGAATTGATAAATGTAAACCGCAATCCTCAAACCAATGCAACCACTGTCACTGGCTTTTGTGTAGATGTATTCAATGCTGCCATTGAAGCCTTACAATATGAACTGCCTCATGAATTTTTTCCATTTGAGGATGCCAATGGACAGATGGCAGGAACATACAATGATCTTTTAGATCAGGTCTATCTTCAGGTACATTCTGTGTCAAATGTAATCAAATATCACACCAAAAATGATATCTAGAGAAGTACCCAGAATTTGAATATGTACCTAGAAACTTTTCTGGGCAATCAAATATCTAGAAGAAAAAAAATATTCTGAAAAGTGCCCAGTATTTGAATATGCCACACACAGAATGAATCTGCGCTACATATTCCAAATTCTATGCACTTTTCTGGATACATAGCATTGCTGGTATCACACTGATCAATATAGTTCCAAAGTAAAACATCTATGTTTAATTTATAAGAAAAAACCATTTTTCATGAAACGTTTGTTTTGTGTTGCTCTATGGATGGATTAGAATTATGATGCTGTTGTGGGGGATCTTACTATCACAGCCAATAGATCTTTATATGTTGACTTCACATTGACTTAGACCGACATGGGCATTGGAAGAGTAGCTCAAGTTGACATGAAGAAGAACATGTGGATCTTCTTGAAGCCACTTGATTCAGATCTGTGGCTAACAAGTGCTGGTTTCTTTATCCTAACAGGCTTTGTGGTATGGCTCATTGAACGTCCCATAAATGAAGAATTTCAAGGTTCACGAGCTCAGCAAATTGGGACTGTCCTCTGGTTCTCCTTCTCAACCCTTGTTTTTGCCCATAGTGAGCTTTCTGTCTCATTTGTCTTCTCCAAAACTGGATCACTTTTTTATTCTTTTTTTTATTTGATAACGAGGGTATTGAGACTAACCCCTGGTACACGTAAACCTGATCACTTTTTGTATAGCAACCGAATTTTCATAACTAAATGATATCGAAGTATAGCAAATTTAAGACTTACTTGAGTGACACCAAGGGCTTTTAGCCCGATAGCACCTCCCCAATTTATGAGAGAGTTTGGGGATACAAACCTAGTCAAAGGCGAGGTTGGGTCGATGAGCTTCATTAGTCTCGCCCCCTCTGCTTAGCAGCTCTTCTTTCCCATATTCTTAGGTGTAAGGCTAGATATAAATTGTATCTGCAATCCTCAAAAATAACTTAACTGACATGTTATGACTTTTATTTTTTATGGCATTGGACATTGCAGGAGAGAGGTTGTTCAGTAACTTTGTAGTGATTGTTTGGCTGTTTGTGGTGCTTATATTGTCTTCAAGCTACACAGCGACCTTGACTTCACTGTTGACTGTTCAACAGATTCAATTGGCTTCAAATGGGGATTATATAGGGTACAAAGGTCAGTCTTATTTACAAGGAGTCATAGTTAAAAACTTGAACTTCACGGACTCTAGGCTTAGAATATATAGTTCACCTGAAGAACATGCTGATGCATTATCAAGTGGAAGTGTTGCTGCTATTATTGATGAGATCCCATACCTCAAGATCTTCCTCGCCAAGTATTCTGGTAGCTATGCCATGGTTGCTTCCGAATCTACCACCAGTGGTTTTGGTTTTGTGAGTATATCATTCCTCAATTACTTATGATCATAATTGGTGGGAATGACTCCCCTCCATACTCTTATCCTCCATTGTGAGCCTAGAATGGAGCCCAAAAAATGAAGTATGGAGGATAAGAGTATTGAGGAGAGTCATTCTCGTAATTGGTTCGGTTTGGTCGAGGCTGGGGGAAAATTTAGCACTCAACTGAATTGTTTTGATTTTGTTGGTTTGAGGAATCGAAGCCTCATAGAAGATTTTAAAGATTTTATAGAAACTTGTAAAATTTCACATCATGAATAAATGAAGAGAGTTACAAAACATGTAGAATTAGTCATTTATCTTCTAATATTTTTAAAAAATAAAATATAAAAAGTACTTACATGATGTAATATTTTGGTTGGTTCAGTCAGTGTAGATGTAAAATTTTCAAAACCGAAACAAACCGTACCTTGTTAAAAACCAATTGAAAGCCGGAATTTCTATTCAACTCAGACAGTTTTGTTCCACCGATTTTTCTTATAACCCTACTTAAGAGTTCCAGAGCACAACTCAGCATGTTAACATTGTTTGCTCCCAGACAAATAAGACCCAGTAGCTAGTCACAGATGGATGGAGCTGATCTAACCCACCTTGATTGAATGGGTAAGTGATAAAGATCGATCCCATCCATCCATGTTGCATGGCCTCATTAGTACGAAACATCACATACAAATGTCGCAGTAGTACTCTGGAACATGAGTACTTACATTAGATGCAGTAAATCATGAGGAGCTAAATAGCTTAATAAATGAACATGAGCATTTTCCCTCATTTTTATGTATGTGAATGTGCCTATAACTCTTTGATAGAGATGGGGAACGAGTTTCCAGGGCTTGATCTGGTGCTTTTCCAGCTCAACGTGCATATAATTTAGTTGGTTTCTTATCATGTGTTACCTACTATCTTTCACAGGTTTTTCGAAAAGGTTTGCCGTTGGTCCCAGAGATATCAAGGGGGATTGGGCAGCTAAGGGAAAATGGGACATTGATGAGGATAGAGCAGGCATGGTTTAATAGCCCACCATCTCTAGGGTCGACAGAGAACAGCTCTGTGACTAATGGCTCCCCCAGCAGACTCAACGTTGATAGCTTTCGAGGTTTATTTCTTATCAGTGTGCTGTCTTCAGCTTCAGCCCTTGTCATACTATCGATCCACTCACTCTATCAAAGATGGCATGCCAAAGTTCACAGATTCAGAAATCTTATTTGTGAAGTACTAGTGTTCTGGGTAAAGCTCCTTTCCACTACAAATTCCAATTTGATTAATCAAATTCCAAGGTGATGTCTGAGACAATAACTTTACAGACATGGAACTAATCATATATAATTGATTTTAAAAAGTAATGGTGATTATACATATCAGACGGTGGAGTCTAGTACTGAAGAAACTGCTCCACTCAAATTACTCCGCTTATATTTTCCGTGTTGGTTATTTGATTATTAATAACCCTTTTAATAGTTCTGCTTTTTTCATCCCATTGTGTTCATGAGCTTGTCCCAAAATGTGTTACTTTAATCGCGTAGCTTCTTTTTTCTTCTTCTCTTTATTACAATATATATATATCAACTCTAATGAAATAGAATGAATCATTAATTATAACATAAATCATAATTACAAAACTTTCTAGAGAGAGAGAGAGAGAAAGAGACTCCAATTAAAAGCAGGGAAATAAACCCACATGCAAATAGAAAGGCAGAGTTGAGAGCTCAATAAGAAGTGTAAGAACTCTGATAAAAAAGAATAATTCTGTTGGTTAACCTCCAAGCTTAAAATGTTGCCTAGTGATGTACTATTTGTTGACCTTTCATATGGACCTTCTAATAAGTATTCATTTAAATGACTAGTAAAATTCAGAGAGTAGATTCCAAGACATTGATCAATTCAAGAAGAACTTCAAGCTGAACATTGAAAACTCGTTTGTGGATTCAATTCAAATGAGTACCATCCCAAGTCAGCAATTTAGATACTAGGGTCGACTCCTGTTGCACTTGAATTAGATTTTAATCATAAAAAATCAAGCCGCACTAATACTTTTCACACTGGACACTGACTAGAACTTGCACAGCTGCACATGCTTTCTATAAAATAACTTGAATATGTGATTCATAAACACTACTTTGTATTTGTTGAGTCATCTAATCATTAGTGAGTAGTTATATTAGGACTTTTAAATTTTAATCTGGTGGTTGTGTAGCGATGTGTGGTATCGTTTTGAAGTGTGAGATTGTAATGTCAGACTTCTATGGAGACGAGATTGGTTTCTCCAATATGGGGATTGTGTGTAGTTTATTTCTTAGACTTTTTTTTGACGGTTGTTAGTTTAGTTATTGTTGACTTTTTAATTATTGTTAAATTTTAATTGTTCAGTTTGATGTAATGTTTCTTATATACCGTTTGAACAAAGAAAAAAAAAAGTAGTTTATATAGAATCAGTTTAATAATGGCCTTATTTGGCAAGGGATTTTTTTTTTTTTTTTTTTTTTGGGCAAAAATTCAAAAGACTTTTTAATTATTGTTAAATTTTAATTGTTCAGTTTGATGTAATGTTTCTTATATACCTTTGAACAAAGAAAAAAAAAAAGTAGTTATATAGAATCAGTTTAATAATGGCCTTATTTGGCAAGGGATTTTTTTTTTTTTTTTTTTTTTTTTTTTGGGACTAAAATTCAAAAAAAAAAAAAAACAAAATAGGTTAAAATAGCCCATAAGGCAAAACGTCATATTAAACTCATAATCATTTTACTTTTTTCCTCACAAACATCACATCCAACTACAAAAAAATCCAACCCTCTTTCCAAACACATATTTTAACCTACTAAAATAGCAAAAAACTAAAATAGGTTACTAAAATAGCCAACTTCCCAAACAAGGCCAATGTTACAAATTCAAAATATTGACATAAAATTTTACTCGAAATTGAAGTATGAAATTTGTGGCTCAAACTAATTAAAATTTGGGAAAACAAACCCTATGCGAACCATGCAAGCAAGCTCTATGTTAACAAAGTGGGCTTCTCCTCCCAAAGGAAAAAAGTTATCTAAAACACTCCCAAGGAGCAGGTTGCTCGATGTCGTCAGTGGTAATGTCATAAATACATTCGGACTCTTGATTTCTATTGAACCCACAAAGAGCTCCACATTTTCAAAGAGGAAAACCAAGATATGGAACAACAACAAATACTTCCCTTTCTTTATAATGATAAGGAAGGGAATAGGGGGAGAAGAACTACATTCCGTAATGCTAAGACTCGAATCTAGATATACGTCTAATAACGTATGAAGTAACATTTATCAAGAAACATCAACATAATCCAGTGTGGGAGCCGAATGGATGTCTATCCCACATCACTCTTTGTGAGAGTCTATCCCACATTACTCTGTGAGGAAACCACACTGCAGTACATAAGTTGACTAACTCTATCATCCAAAAAAGCACAAAAAAATTATCTAAAGTTTGAAAAAACAAGTAGCCGGGCTAGTAAATTGCATAGTTCACAGCTAAATTTGGATACTAGAAACCAATAACTGACAAAAAAGATTGTGATACAATAATGTACGACGAATGAAACCATTCTTTCTGTACTTCTAGGTCAACTGAGCTCGTATGGGACGAAGGAGGTCAGCCAAACAACCTATGAAGCATGGGTACTTCGAAAAACATGACACTGAGCTCGTATGGGAAGAAGGAGGTCAGCCAAACAAACAACAAACAACTCCACTTTATACGTTTCTTGAGCTTAGGCATTTTAAAAAAAGAGAAGGGAACTTTTCACCAAAGGAGGCAATAGGAATGGAGGAGGCTTTCCAAAGGCATTAAAACCTCTCAATCAAATGAAATAACGGTAATGATCAAATTTTACAGTGTTTTATCGCTAAGCTAGATAAGAAAATCCCACCCTATAGCTAAAATGACTATATATGCTATAGAAGAACACACTTCTTCGTCCACAACAGCA